CACGTGGCTTCCTCCAATGAGTGTGAATCCCGCACCCAAATGATCATCTCACTTTCCCTCCTTCACCTTCCTGGCTTTCCAGTATCCCATCCAGGAGTCACTCATTGGATTCACCAACAGCAGCTTGAACAAAATAGCAGCAGAATCCTTCCAGGGTGAGTCCTTCTCTCGTGCCAAGGTGCCCGCCTCTCCTAGGAAGACATTGGCACCTTGAGCCGTATGTATGTATGTACGTATGTATGTATGTATGTATGTATGTATGTATGTATAATTTATACATTTTTCTTCAACATACGTAAGTGCTTAGTAAATAGTGAATTGTCTGGGTTGATTTAATAGTAATAATATTATTCATTTATACCTAGTAATAATCTTCCAGCTTCTAATTTCTACTCCTATTGTCTAACCATTGATAAAACAAATCTCACGATAAAAAATATTGTGTTGTCTTCTTTGTCCTTTATCTTTAGTGTTAACCCATCCATTTCTGCAGTCTAGTATTTTTCTAATTATATTTTCATCTGTAGGAGTTTCCTCATTCTTCCAGTGTTGTGCAAATATAATTCTCTCTGCTGCCAAGACATGTAGTATTAAATATATGTTCCCTTTATCATATTTTTTTCTGGTATTATGCCTAACAAAAATATTTCTGGCTTTAAATCTATACGTTGCTTTAACATTTTCTCTAACCTTGTGTGTATTCTTGTCCTCATTTTTTTTTTGGCCTTATGGCATGTCCACCATATATGGTAGTAGAAGCCTGGTATCTGATTAGATTTCCAACATTTGGTGGGCATGTTTTTGAACATGTTTAGGAGAACATGTTAAGGAGAAGTTTTGAGGCCAGAGTTTTGTTGTTGTTGCATTTCAGTAAACATCTACCGTTTCTTTTTCTCTCTCTGGCTGCCCAAAGTCAACTCTACAAGCTTGGCAACCGAGACTGGTTGGCTTATGACATGAGCATTCCAGGTTTTGGAACAAGTTGCTTCCATACACATGCTTTGCACGTCAAAGCAGCAATGAGTGATTTAAGCTCTGTGACTGATTTGGTTATGGCGGTTGTTTCCATCTGCAAAGCTTTGGAGAGAGAAAACAATGGTTCCAGCGCCGTTCCAAAGAAGAGCAGCCTTCCATCTCTTCTCCACCTCATCCAGGCTTGGAGAAGTCAGCCAAGGATCTGCGGCTGCTTTGCTGCTGAGTGGATTTCTGGTGTAAATTAGGAAAATGATCTCATTCTGTAATTATTGCAAACTTAAGTGTTCAGCCATAATGCTAACCATGCCGTAGGATGGGCTGGTTCATTCATGCCAAGTCAAAACAATACTGATTGTTTGATGACATCTGAAGCTAAGGAAGGTAGGAGTGGTTGAAGAGACAATCCCAACTGAAAGGTGTGTGTGTGTGTTTGTGTTTCTTTTGTGTCCCCCCAGCTGTGATGAGGTTTATGGGTGACCTTCCACTCAAAGGACAATCTGAGCTGGATGTGGTCTATGCTTTGTTGAAGGTAATCTTCTTTCCAGTGTTGGCTTGTGATCAAACCTTGTAGAGCACATGATGGACGTGTTCCAGGTTCTGACGGTGTGCTTTTTTTTGGTTTGGGGGGGGTGTGTGCAGTTGAAAGGGGAAGGTACTTTTTAAAGTCAAGTGTACATCTTCAGAGTTTTCTGAAATCCAGTGTTTTGCTGCCAAATTTCTGTAGTTTTGTGTTTGGGGGAGTTTAGGATCCTGCAGAAATAGGAGGTAGGGAGCACATTGCCCACAAGGATGGTCTGTCCCTTCTGTGGAGGTTTTTTTGGACTCTATCTGGTCTCAGGCCAGGGTGTCCTAACTGGCCAAGCCTTTCTAGGTGAGGTTTTTGGGAGAATCAGTGGTTGACTAATTATGGGGGGGCGGGAACAGAGTCCTTCTTCCCATGCTGTCTTCCTGCTTCTTCTCCAGCTCTGTGGAGACCACGAGGTCATCCGGGATGAAGTCTTTTGCCAGATCCTCAAACAGATCACGGACAACGTCAGCAGCAAGACGTAAGCCAAGCCTTCAACCTTTCATGGCTTTCCGGAGTCCAGTGTCCCCCTCCCTTGAGTTCTCCAGGTGTATTTCAACTCTCCTGGCTTTCCAGGCCTGCTGGCTCAGGAGTATGGGAGTCGAAGTAGCACATATTCCAAGAAACACCATGTTGGAGCAAGCTGCAGTAGATAATAGTCAAGCGTGGATGTACCCACCTTGTACAACTCACCTTTACTCCCTTGGGCAGTCAAGAGAAGAATACTTCTCAGCCCAAGGGAGTTTGGAGATAGAGCTGTTTTGGGGGAAGCTTCCCCCAGTTGGGGCTTCTCAGGAGGAGGAAGGGACCCCTTTGTTCCAAATAGCATCCCAAAGTAAGTCAGAGTCCGAGGCAAAGGATTCCTCAAAGGTCCAATTTATGAAGAGAGCCATGTTGGCACATCTGGGAAAACCCGAATCTGAAAGCTTCCCAGTTTTCCCCACCTAGTTTAAATTTTAAGATCTTGCTCCCACACCCACAAGTCCATCCCATGGTCCAATCTCCCACTGCCATGCTGGCAGTTTCCACCCATCCAGTTCCGGTCAGGTGCAAAGTCAAAAGATGACCTTGGCTTTCTAGAAAGGAATTTTGTTTTGGCTACATATCATCTAACTACGTACACACACTCCTCCCATTTTCCCACAACAGAAAGGGCATAGTAGAATAATAAAAAGTGTGGCAGGCCAAAGATCCAAGAGAAAATA